GCAGGCAGGCAGGCAGGCTGGTTTGCTCTGAGGTCTTTGGTGGCTGGTTATGCAGTATTAGTATTATAATGGGGCTTGTTTTTTAGTCTTATGTGCCCAGCCATGCTAATTACATTTTAAAAAGCTTTGAGCAGTAGAGGCTCTTCTTGCTATCGAGTAAATATAACCTCAAAGCACATTTCCGTCCTGAATTCGGAAAATAAGTCTCTTTCAAAAGCGAATAGATCCTTGCAACTGTATTTCAATCATGCCTATGATTCAGTCGTGTATTCGATTTGACTAAACTAGGCCTAATGCTGTGACAGGTTTTTCAATCGTTAAAATGATGACCATAGTGGTGTGGGTTCTCAAACCTCTACTGATGCTTTCTCCAGTAAACTAACAGTAGTACCAATCTACATCCGGAAACTTTCCGCGGTATAGGCGGATTCAATTTCTAAAGGGATGTCTTATGAGTTAGCAATTTGAACTTAAACGTAAGTTAGAACATTAGCAGAACTTGAAAATCACAAAGGAAATTAGACTCTCAATGTTCGTCTATAAACCGAACAATAAACAAGTTTCCCCTTGAAAATGACACACATCCATTCAACTTATGAGTCACGCGGTAATTTTTTGCTGATCGCCTGATGTTGTCATAAGACGTTTCCTGCAATATTTCAGGCGGTACCTACAATCGTTGACATGTACTAAAATCTGAAAAAACCAAGAGACCGGGGAAACGAAAAGAGCAAAACCACCAAAATGAAACCGCCAAAACGACTAAAAAGGGTACACGGGCGATAGCAGCCTAATCTCGGCGTTCTTTGGGCTCACCGTGGCGCTATTCAGGCTATCAGAAGCCGAGGCATATTGCAGACAGACAGAAATCCACTCTGGTTAGCCTGAATACCTACCCAAAATAAGTAAGTACACCTTACTGTTAGTGAGAACAAGTAAGGATTTTTTTGTTGCAAGCGATGAAACCAGATATTACGTTACAAACGGTACATTGACATTTGTTTTTCACGAAAAGGTAGT